ACATTTATAAATGTATGAATCATATGGTAAGTAACTGGCTTTGAAAAATAAATCTGTTCTTTTTTTCTTATAAAAGTCTAAATAAAACAAAAATATTGGTGGTAATTTTTGACTGTGTAACTTTACAAACAGCACCACATACACTTGCAGCGTTATTTTACTGTAGAAACAGTTTACAGTAAGTTACTGTAATTTTTTAGTTGTTTTACATCAATATTACTGTAGTAATGTTTAGAAACACACAGTAAATTAGTTGATTTGCAGTGCATTAGGGGGATTTTCACTGGTTACTATAAAAAAAACAAATACATAAACCATCATAATGTTGAATTAAGATTTCCAACAGAACATTGTGCTCTTCATCATTTTGATTCTGGATCAATGTTTTCAGTCTGAACGTTTTTTTTTTCTTTTATTTAAAACAAGCAGAAAGACAGAGGGAGTTACGTATTAAAATACCTTTTTGAGATGGAGCTGTTGTTTACATACGAGCTGGGACCCATATCATCTGCTTAGTGTTAAATTTTAATATTAGTAAAATTAATCTTTTCATTAACAAAGTGAGGATGTTATTTTGGACAAACCTGCTGTGACTCTAACATGTAACCAGGACAGGTTAACTCTCTTTGTTCCTCCTGAGTCTACAGCAGGTTGAATCTAAATGTTGCAAACTGAAAAACACCAGATCTGCACCACTGAGGGATAACGGTATTACCTGGTTTATTTATTTAATTACTTCTTCATTTTAAGGCACTTTTTTCTTTTTTTAAAGGGGTTATATGATGTAAAATCAACTTTTTTGACTTATATATCATGTTATAATGTTATCCTCTCATCAACAACATGTCCAGAGTCTAACTTTGACTCATTCATGCATGTTTGAGAAATGTAGTGACCTGAGACAGCAGGCAGGGCAGCAAAAACCACTGGTTGGGACTGGAACCACACTTTGGGATCAGCTCCTCCTCTGTGCTGTGTCTCCTCATCACAGAGCACACACACCTGGCCCTCTGCTGAAATGGGTGGGACAGAAGCTGAAGGAGGTTCTTAAAGAGACAGAGGCCAATTTCAAGGTGTTTAGAAACAGACATGATGAGAAGTCAATTTTATTTTCTATTTAAACATAAAAACAGCATTTTAATAACTTTGTGTAGGAGGTGAGCTTAAGGTGAATTAAGCTTCTCCCACATCTCTCATACACAAGGTTCTGAGGAAACTTTTACCAAGGTATTTCTCATTACTTGTTGATATCTTGACTGTGCGACGTGAAAAGTGACACAATAAGTGAACGTTCAGACGAGTTCAAGTTGATTCATAAAAGATTATGCAATCATTTATTTACACAAGTTGAACAGATCATAAGTTACACTTGATTGTGGTTATTCCTATAACAAGCGTCAGAGTTAAATGAGATAAAACCCGCATCGAATTTCAATTCACATCAACTCAGATTACTTATATAGAACAGTAAAACATCAGTTCTGATGTTAACAACCAAACAATTTTACTGGCACTTTTAGCTTAAGTTTTGGCAAATTAAGAACAAGGAAAGGAGGAAAGTAAGATTAGTGTGTTACTACGACTTTTACTTTTATCAAAGTGTGGGTCAACTGGAACTGCACGTCTTTCTAAGCTCAGGGTCCACATGACACGTCACTCCGAACACATCAGCTTTACCTGGTGATGACTTCTTA